ACACTTTCAGAGTTTCAGGTTTCACATTGAGGTCTTTGATCCATTTGGAGTTGACTTTTGTACATGGTGATAGATAGGTCTCTACTTACATTCTTCTACATGTGGAGATCAGTTTTCCCAGCACCGTTTGTTGTAGATGCTGTCTTTCTTCCAATGTATATTCTTGGCATCTTTGTCAAATATTAAGTGGCTGTAATTATGTACACTCACGTTTGGGTTTGCTATTTTGTTCCATTGATCTACATGTCTGTTTTTGTGCCAGTACCATACTGTTTTTATTACTGTAGCTCTTTAATATGACATTTAACTAAAAAGCTTCTATATACAGCAAAAGAAACAAGCAATCAAGTAAAGAGGAAGCTCAGAGTGTGAGAGAATCCTTGCCAGCTATGCATCTGATAGAGGATTAATTTTTGGAACATACAAAGAACTCAAAAAACAAAAAATCAAGAAAACATATGACCCAATTTAAAAAATGGGCTACAGATCTGAACAGAGAGTTCTCAAAAAAAGAAATAAAAATGGCTAATAAATACTTTTAAAAGTGTTTACCATCCTTAGAGAAATGTAAATTAAAACTACTTTAAGGTTTCATCTAATCTGAGTTAGAATGGCAAAGACCAAGAGAACACATGACGACAAATGCTGGGGAGGATGTGGGGAAAGAGGAACCCTCATTCCCTACTGGGGGCATTGCAGACTGGTGCACACTGTGGAAGTCAGTATGGAGAACTCTTAAAAACCTAAAAATAGATCTACCTTATGATCCAGCTATACTTATTCTCTGTATTTGACAAGTTGTAGAGCTCTGTGATAGTATCCATCTTTTGCAAAAAGAAGCTTCTTTGATGTGTGGTGAGAGGTACGCTTGTCCTGTTAGTCTGGAACTTTCTCACAGCAGAGGCAGGAAGGGCCTATGGGAACAGGATTTGCCTGGGTGGGTTCTGACCTGATAGGTCTTTGGCAGGGGCCAGCACTTTTATCTTGGGGGTAATCAACAGCTGTCTAATTGGGCTTAAGACCTGCTCAATGGGAGGGAAATCATGAGTGGTAAGCACTGTAAACATAGCCACATGGTTGGAGAGGTCATAGGTCCTAGAGAAGTATCTACTTCTGTTACTTCCCTAGACCAACATAATTTCCTGTATTTTAATAATTATCCTTACATTTATAGATGAGTGTACCTCTCACCACTCATCAAAGAAGCTTCTTTCTGCAACAGATGAAGACTATTTCAAAGTTCCCCAACTGGTCAAATATAGAGAACAAATGATTGTGGGGTATCCAACTCTCAATGACACATCTATAATGCAACCTCTACACCCAAGGCTCAGAGAACACTGAAGAAGAGGGGGTTCAAAGACAGTAAGAGCAAGAAGGACAAGATACCTGCTGCTAGTTGATGCATTCTAGACATGATAGGGAAGGAAGCTGCACTGATGTAATCTCCATAATATGGTAGACTAATGAGATCTGCATAATGACAAAACCAGTTGCCATGCCAAGGTGGATGGGGGCAATGTCACAGGATTCCACTTCAGGATGAAGAGTTGCAGGCAATCAATGGAGGCTGAGGGAGGGAGAATCCCTGAGAGGACTAGCTCCCTGAGGGGTTATCTAATCCCCAATGAAGAGTCCTAAACACAAGTACACAAAGTACCACTTAATGGAGTCAGTGCATAATGTGTGTGTGTGTGTGTGTGTGTGTGTGTGTGTGTGTGTAACGATAAAAAAAATAAAAGGAAATTGAGAGGGAGTGGGGGGCATGGGAGGAAAGGAAATAATGTAAAGACTATGCTGATGCATAAAATTCTCAAAAAAATAAAAAAGAGTAAAGATTTTAAAAATCTCTAAATTTATTTTCTTCTCAAAGCCATACTAGGAAAAAAATCCACAAAATCCTTGATAACAATCAATTAGGCATTTAAAAACATTTATTTTGAAAAATCAGAATAACACAATCAATCTTCTCACATACATTCCCGTTTGTTACCAGATATTTTCAGCAAACAGATCTCTTTAAACCTCTTCATCTGCTTTTATCAAACCTTCAGAGTGGCTCCTGCTGCTGTTGGCAACCATAGCAGCCTGTCGGGGGTAAAGTACAGGGAGAGAAAAATAATCACAGACTTCTCGAAGTTCAGAAATAAACACTTGAGAGGGGGTGTGGAACTGGGCATTTGTATGGTATTAAATGAAGGCCAAATTTTGAAACCAACTCTAAAATGAAGAACGATGTAATAACACCACCAATTAGCTATTAATCAATGAATCCAGTTATTTTATATTGTTAAAGACTATCAAGCTCTAGGGTTTGGGGAAGGTATTTTTTTTTTTTTTTTATTTACATTTTGTGTATATGACAACTTGTGGGCATGTGTGTGCTATGGGACATGTGTGGAAGTCAGAGGACAACTAGTGGGAGTTGATTTTCTCTTTCCACCATGTGGGTGTCTGAGATCAAACTCAAGTTGTCAGGCTTGGCAGCAGGCTTTAACCACTAAGCAGTCTAGCCTGTGCATTATTGTCAGTTTTTAAACTGAAGAGAATGATATTTCTTAAAAATGATAACATGTTTGAGCACAGATGATCTTTTCCAAAGGAAGTCAAGTATTTAGTGTAGTGAAGAATTGATTGAACCAAACATAATTCTTTTGAAGGTAGAGGGAAAATAAAACATAATCCTGGGTGTATAAATATTTTTGTCTCCACTTCCTCACAAAACACAAACCTTCTAACTTTACAAACGCCCTCTCTGTGGCTCCCATGTGAGCTTTGTAAGGGATACAGAGATACGTTATATGGTCCTTGCTTTCAGGTAGCTCCTCCCCTATAGGGAAATCCAATTTACATCTTAGTAGGGGAAGTAATGGGACACAAGGTGTTGGAGTTCTTGAAGGCTTCTAAGAGATTACAGTAGACTCTTAACCAGCCAAGCAAAGTGAAGATGGCTGAGGGAAGTTAGGTGGAGGGTGCAGAATGAACAGAACATGCGATACAGCCAAGTTTACAACATTTCAGGGGGAGATGCTGGAGCAGAGCATCTGAAAGGAAGAAGAGACAGACATGCAAGGAAAGACAAAGACCAGAAAAATGGCTGAGGTCAGACTGAGAGGGCCTTGGGCATGTGTTAAAGATTGACATTTTTATCGTATGAAGCAGCAAATGAGGGGTTAGACTATGAGGTGATATGCTCAAAGACACCTGAGGAAGACACCTCTGCTTCCCTGAGAAAAACAGACTTCAAGGTGAGCCAGTCCAGACATAGAAGTTTATGCTCTGACGTCTAAACAAAAGCTTTTTCCAATCTTGAAATATGAAGAAATAATTATACTTATGAAAAACAGGGTCTAAGTGAAAAACAATCTAGCCTCTTCTTTTAAAATTAGGATATCAATATAATGGCCCCCTCAGGTACAGATTAGGTGAGATCTGGATGATAGTCACCTTATCGCATAAAGAAATGGAAATGCAGAGAAGTGAAGGGACAGTATCACAGAAAAATCAGTCACCCTGTACTGTTAAAAACAGAGCCCAAATAGGAGAGGACCTCAGATTCCAGCTTCCAGTTCCTTCCACAGCACCCGGCACTCAGTAACAGTATGTCTGTTTGGTAATCATCAAAAAGCCTCAGTCTAACTAGAGAAAAGAGAATAGTTTGCTTTCCAAACACTTTGTTTCTAGTTTTGTTTCGTTAAGACAGTGTCTCTCACGAAGCTCAGGTCGGCCTTGAACTCAGCGTGTAGCCAGAACTGACCCTGAGCTCTTGATCCTCCTATCGCCTACCTCTACCTCTAAGTGCTGGGATTACAGGTGTGTGCCACCATGCCTGGTCCAAACAGGTTTTTAAACCATTAAATATTACAACTAAGCATTTTTCCCAAGAGGTGCCTTGAAGGAATCTGTTTTTCTTCCATGAAAAAAATGTGTAACTCTTTTAATTGCAGATATATGTATTTGAAAATTCAAAGGCTTAACAACAAATATCTTTCTATTTAAATCTTCCCCAATTTTTTTTCAATTAACAAGATGAAAGAGACATTTCTGACTCATATGACAGTTACAGTTTTTACAATGAAGAAGACAAAAATGGATACATGTTATATGTGGCTATAAACAATTTTTCTTGAGTGCCTAACAGCCAAAAGAAAAACACTTATTAGTGAGGAAGGGGATTCTTCACATTAAAAACAGCAGACCTAGTCCTGCCCACTTGGGAATTATGCTCAAACAGGACTTAGAGTGCTTGAAAAACACGCTATTCCTAACTAAAAGCAAGTTTCAGAAGTGCTGCCTCTTTATAAAGAACAAACTATATATATATATATATACATATATATATATGTAAAAATTATATACGTTCAAAGAAAAAAATCATTTGGGAAGAGAAAAAAAGATGAAAGCAAAAGAAAATAAGCATCAAAACTTATCAATATTGAGCTGAACGGAAATAGAGAAATACCACAGTTATATAATAAGGAAGTGAGACTGATAATATAAGTCCATAACTATGGACAGAAAGTTCCAGAAAAGCTTATTGCTACTTACTCACTTTTGGAATAGACCAAGAATAGTCCAAGTAGGCAAAAATAAAGCCAAGGAGAGTAGACATGTAATGGGACATATTCTTGATGCTCAGGTTAAGGCATGAAGACTTCAGTCTAAACTTAATGAGGGAAACAATCCAGATTTATTGAAAATGTATGAGACAAAAAAGAAAATTCCAGAAAGAAAAATCTGTTTGGGAGACACAAGAATCTAAGACTGGGTTGTTATGGAGATGAAGTAAGGCTTTTGCTTGGTTCCAAATGCATGTACAGTAATGGCCAACTGTAATATCCGTAATGATCGGGACCTTTGCACTTTGCAGCACAAGCAATTCCCTTTCTCTGGGCCTCATTCTGCTAACTTGTAAAGTGGGAATTCTGATGATCCTAAGGAGCAATTTCCTATCAAAAAATTCTATTCACATTCATTCAGAAACCAAGGGACAATGTCAGTACTTATGCAATATTTTAATCCCAAACCCACCAAACAAGAAAGCTAAACCAATTTTAATAGTCCAGTTTGCATGTAATTATTTTGATACAATCTTTACTTAATCTTAAAGATTACAAAACATAAAAAAACCCCAAAAATCTCCCAAAGTGGTTCAGAATACTTGGGAACTTAAGCATATAATATAGATTATATATATTTAGCAACTAAATTACAAATTGATAAATATAACAAAAAAAGTAGATAATCTAAAGATTTAATGAGATTAGACTACACATTCTGCAGGTAGAAAAATGAGCCACTTATAACACATTGATCAAACTTTAAAAGTGTGCACCCCCCTTTTAAAATGGCAGTGATTGTCCATTAGTGTAATAACACAGTGCTTGTAAACGTTTTTCCATCTAAGAGCATCTATGTCCATCCTAACTTCTATTAGGTTAGCTCCGAGGTCTGCCTTGGACCTGAGTTGTTTAAATTTTCCTTATTTTAGGACTTATAGCCACCCATCCAAGAATACTGTACAGTCTGAGGCTGGGGGGCCAGGTGTGCACAGGTGAATCTGGAAAAATCTCTTACCTTTCTAAAGCAAGAAAGGCATCTGGATGCAAAGATTGAAGAGCTAACCATAAGCCACAGGCAGTTTATACTTAGACAGTTATTACATTTTTGGCAAGTGTTATCAAACTAAAGACTTGGGCTTCTGACAGTTTTAGCATGACATCTGAATTCTCTCTCTCAGTGATAGGAAAGAGAGACATGAAATGACATGTCAGAGTTGACTGGCTTCCTGTCAGTTCTCCTTCTAATATACCAATGAAAAGCCGATGATACTAAAAAGTGCTTCATCAATGGCCCTCAACAGTGGAATTTTAGTTATATGAGTTGTGATTCCTATTTGTTGAGATTCTTGGAGCTACTGACAGATAGGAGCAAATGTTCTGTCCTCACTGAGACTCAGTCTGGGGTTGTCAGGGGAAGTGACTTGTGAGCATGAAACTGCTAAGTGTACAGCACAGCTGGAAGGTGGGCACTGACAGCAAGCAGCTTCTTTCCTTCCAGTCTCAACATCAGCTCTAGTTGACTTTATTTTCTCCATCCTCCTCGCAAGAAAAGGTTCATCAACTTCCTTTACCACGAGGGAAACTCAAAATGTTTATTCATGTGTTTTCATTTACCTCTCTTTAATTTACAATATGTACACTTTAACAATGTCAGCAAAGGGAGTTGTTAGACTTCAGTGATAAATGCAGGTGTACAGGATAACTGTGTTTCCTAAGCACTACACAGATAGTCTTCCACATTTCTAGTGTCTACTTCAGATCTGAGATGCTGGCTCCCTCTGGCACTCCTCTAAGTAGGCTCTTCTGCACAGAACAGCATCTCAAAGGCCAAACCTTCTGGCCCAAGGTCAAAATGGTTCAGGTTCCATTCTTCTTTAGAAAACACCATGCTGGAGCTCACTGGCTGGCCTTGCGAAATCAGGACCAGATTCCTTTTAGATAAGAGAAGTCAAAGAAAACTTGGGTTTCCATAGAAAGACAAAGTGCTGTCCCCTATAGATCGCAGTCTCTGTGGAATACAGTGTCTTCCTAAAGAGGTAGAAATAATAGGGGGTGTATGTTGCAGATGCCCTTGTTCAATAACACTGAGCACTGTATCTTTAAGGGCTTAAAATGGACTGACTCCACTCAGGTCTCTGATTTTTTCATAAGTAAGCCAGAACACCAATGACCAAGGGGTCTGAAAGATTAACCAAAGAGGTTAGTGCATATTTCAAAGCAATTATAGAAATTCTACATATATGCATATACATCTTTGAGTGACAGTCATTTTCAATTCCTTCATTAAAAAAGAAATATTTTGTCTTTTACCTTTGTAAAGTACTTTAAAATTTATAAAACATTGTCATGTCTTATTTATCACAGATTTCCCTAAAAATAATTTATATTAGGAAGAAAAAGTAATACTATCCCTATTTTACAGATGAGGATGCTGGGGATCAGTGGTCACCTGTGCACCAGCATGGTGCTGAGCTAAAGCGCAGGCTTGTGTTCTCCAGCCTAGGGTCCTTTTTACTGAACCATTTCTGACTAAAGGGCCGTTACTTCGGATGCCTTAACATCTACACTAAGTTGCTCTCCATGTAGTTGGTATTTGCACCAAGAAACTTGAAAGTAGGGAAGATAAAAGATATCCTTTAAGAATTGGATTATAAAAAATCTCAGTACCTGATGTCTCACACCCCGTATATACAATTTTGCATTAAAGAAAAGAGCTTCCAGCTCAGAATGGCTTAACTTTCACCTGAGTGGTGCAGCTGTATCTACAGTAACTATGGAAGGTTATGAGAAAACGACATAAGCATCAGAAAGCAAATATTGTATCCAAAAAAGGGTGCTTGGACTGAAATCCTCTCTAGTTTGGTTCTGATTAGCGAATAGAGAGGATCTCCATCCTTCTACAATAGAGAGCTAATCCTAACTGATTAGAATGCAAAATGTAGGGCTGGAGGGATAGCTCAGTGGTTTCTATCACCCACGTTGGGCAGCACAGCTATGTGCAACTCTGGGTTCAGGAGCTCTGATGCTCTCTTCTGACCACTATGGGTATCTGCACTCACATGGTAGTACACATATACACACACACATATAAAAACAATAAAATAATTTTTTAAAAAATATTGTAAAATATATTTGGTTCCAGGCTTCATAAAGTGTGTTGGTAAATACTGAGCATGCTATATTGGCAGATTAAGAATTTACTAAATAAGGGGGTTGGAGAGATGGCTCAGTTAAGAGCACTGGCTGCTCTTACAGAGGACCGTGGTTCAGTTCCCAGCAGCCACATGGTGGCTAACAACTGTCCTTGACTCCAATGCCAAGGGATCTGTTGCCCTCTTCTGGCCTCTGTGGGCATTGCATGCATAGGTGCACATACACATGCAGGCAAAACACTCATACACATAAAAATAAATAAAAAAATTTAAAAAGAACTTAACAAATAGGCCAGGTATGGTGGTGCACACCTTTAGTCCCAGACTTGGAAGGCAAAGGCAGGTGGATCTCTGTGAGAAGGAGGAGCGCCTGATCTACATAGCAAGTTCCAGAACAACTGAAGCTATAGGGAGACCCCATCTCAAAAACCAAATAAACAAACAAGACAAACAAAAGAATGTACGAAATAGTGGTTAGCTGATGCATACAGATGTAAGCTGCTACTATACCCTATTCTTGCAAAGACAAAACTGAAGCAAGTCAAGGAGATCACTGCAGAGAGCTGAAGGAGGCAGGGGTCTTAGTTAAGATGGTCCCTGCAATCATCCATTATGGTTGTGGTTGTCAGATATGCTCTTCATGCTCTTCAGAGACTGAGTGAAGCAAGATTATGCCTCCTTTATCTAGAGGAATGGACTGTGATGGAGTTTGGTGCGGACACTGAAGGAGTTCAAGAGGGAGGTCACAGACTGTGGGTGGGATTTACTGAGCCTCTACTCACTGTCAGAATACACAATGTCTGTACATACTCATTCTCTCACTGACACGGTGACCACTGTAAATCCTCAAAGTGCACATGGACCCATGCTGGTTCCTCAGAGTTGTCTTCAGGCCTGTTGTAGTTCTTTTCCATTCCTGTTTCTGTGGAGGTTGTTACTCAAAAACTCTCTTGGCTTGATATTCCTAAATATTGACTTTACAAATAGGCTCCTCCTGCTGTAATTCTGTGCTTAGCAACTGAACTTCTAATAATAACTTGGGTCCTACAGACCTTGAATTTAGGAGAAAGCACACTGGTCCAAAGACATCAACATCTATATCATTTGCCAATGTGCTGTGCCATCTGAGTATGCAGCTATTCTGGCCTAGTCATCAGTTTCAGTGACTTCAGCTCGGAGACTTGGAGGTGCTCAGTCATTCACTGCAGCCACCAACAAGGCACTAACAGGCACTTAGTGATGCTCTCCAGGTAGGCAGCCTTTCTTAGGTGACTCTTCATTTCTATATCATATGGTTTTTTTTTTTACATTTCTTATGTATGTTGTATGTATGTGTGGCATGCATGTGTGTGGGTGCATGTGCACAGGCATAAGGAGGCACTCGAGATTACTATCTAGAATCATCCTCAGTTGCTCTTCCACCTTATTCAGTGAGGCAGGCTCTCTCAATCAAACTCAGAGTTCATCCATATGGCTAGTCTTGCTAGCCAAATTGTTCTAGGGGATCCCCATCTCTGCCTTCAGAGGCTGGGATTATAGGCAGGCTGCCACCCCCAGTCTGCATTTACACGGGTTCTAGGGATCCAAAACCTGTTCCGTATGCCTGCACATCAAGCACTTGACCGCTGAGCCATCTCCCCAGCCACTATCTCTACATTTTCTTTTCTATAAACTAGCTTGAGCAGTATATGGTAAGGAAAAGGGAGTTAGAATTGAACATTCTGGCAGCCATCCCAAATCTACCACATCGAGCTACAGCTGTATGAACCTAGTAAAGTCCTTATATACTGAGACATGGCTTTGTCATCTGAAAAATGAAAATAACAGCACCTGTTTTACTGTGCTTTTGTATGAATTAACAAGTATAATTAGTGTATGTAAAGATGGCCGTGTCAGCTACACTTTCTGAGCATCCTATGTAGAGAGCAGCTGGGACCAGAAGGTCCCATCCTTTGAACCTGCATGTTCTTCCAGTCTTTCATTCCAGCTAACTCTAATGTTCCTGCAATGGTTTTACCACCACTGAAAACATAGGGTCTCACTCCTTTCTTCTGTATCTCGCTTTCCACCATGACTAGTTAAAGAGTCCTATGGAGTTAACCATGAATGTCCCTAGCATTTATCTTCACTCCATTTCTACAACTGTCTCCTAGTTAAGCCATCACCCCCAAACTTCCTTTTTTAGTAATCTAATTTGTAATGTGCCATTTTCCTAATTCCAAAGTAATTTTGCTGCAGTTATTTGCTCACATGTGTAAGCTCACATGTAAAGATTTAGTGTGTGTGTGTGTGTGTGTGTGTGTCACATGTACACAGGTGCCTACAGAGACCAGAGCTGAAGTGGTTGTGAGCCACCTGATTTGGGTGCCAGGAACTGAATTCAGGTCCTCTGGAAGAACAGCAAGTGCTCTTAACTGCTGAGCCATCTCTCCGGTCTCTTGTCTATAGGGATGAACCTAAGTTTGGCCCACAGGGTCATCTCCAACGTGGTTTAAGGGCAGCTCTAATCTTTCTTCTCACTGCCTCCCCTCTGAGGATTGAGACTGTGGCCTCACCAAATTCCTGCATTCTTCAAGCACACCAGGCTCACACATGACCTCCTGCTGATGCTCCGGTGTCTGCCTCCCACCTCTTTAGACAGATGCTTATAGGAGCATCATAGCCCCCCAAAAGGCTCTGTGCAGCCTTTTGGGCCTTCAGACATTTACAGATATTTTTCCTGCACCATCCATATTGCCAGAGAGTATTTATTGTTCATACCACTAACACATACAAGCTCCTTTAAAAAAAGATATCCTGGCTGGAGAGATGGCTCAGCGGTTAAGAACACTGACTGTTTTTGCAGAAGACCCAGGTTCAAATCTCAGCACCCACATGGCAACTAACAACTGTCCCTAACTCCAGTTCCAGGGGATCCGATAGCCTCTTCTGTCCTCTGAGGGCATTGCATGACACGGGTGCACTTACCTACATGCAGGCATAACACTCACACACATAAAATAAAAAAGATATCCTCCAACATCAGACTGCCTGAGAAACACTAGCTAACCATCTGACTTGGCCAAGTTATCTCAACTCTATGCTCTGTTTCCTCCTCTACATAAGAGAAATGTAACAGTAACTTACTGCACAGATTTTTGGGAGAATTCAATGAGTTAAATCAAAGTTATACTGAAAACAGTGCTGGGAATCACTATAAATAAAATGATTCAATAATTTTAGCACTCTTGCCCATGCGTGTGGTTCACGGGGTCTCTCGGTGCGGTCTCTACCTTTGCGTGTTCCACCCAGCTTCTTGTGGCTCCCTGTGTTTACACCCTCAGTTCACTCCCATCCTTCTCCATAGAATGTTTTCTTAACATTTTGCATGGCCAAGTCCTATCCTTTAAATCTCATTTCAAGTTTTCTCCAGGAAGTTTTTGTAATTTCCCAGTGTAGGCTGCATGTACTTGCTAGATACGTATCTCCACAGCATCGGATGTGCTCCCCAAGATACTCGCCATTCACAATTTCCTATTCGAAGCTAAGCACTTACTACAGGGCATTGCATGAAGTAAGTACTCAAATATAATGTTATATTTTTATTATTATTTGTTGATTTTTGATTATTTGGTTTTCTAAATCCATAACTCACCCAGGCTTTCAAATATTCATAAATACTTACAAAAGACACAAGCACCTTGTTTTTATTTTCTTTCCTATATGGCTTAATTCTACCTAATTCTGTATCTCAGTACACTTTAGTAATAAAATATTTAAACCACATAAGGATATGATGTTTTCTTATAAAACTGTTTTGTGCTAATAGTATCACCTAATATAACATTTGTCATCAAAGTAACAAATTCTGAAACAGTAAAATTTCATAGGAAGAGCTCTATTGTAAAGTCTGTATACCTGTCCCAATATACTATATTTTAGTTAAGCAGACTACAAAATATTCTACATTACTTAAAAAATCTATTTTTATCTGGTTTTATAATAACATTATCAACCTAGTCATTAAAAATGAACCTGGTTAATTTTGCCTTAGTCTATCAAGCAGGGAAACATGACTCTAAGAAGTGAAAAAAAATATTTTAAGAAGAAAGAATGGATGGAATTGTTTAGGGGCAGGGTCATGCCACAAACCAAAAGAGAAAATGGAAAATATTTACAGAGTATAGGTCATCTAAAAGCAAAGAAAACAAAAATAAAGGGAAAAAGATATTCCCCTAACTTTACCATTCTCAGCCACGATGGTAAAAAGCCTTTATACAGACTCATGAAGCCTTCCCCTTGGACAGCCTGAATTAAGCAGTCAGTTGATGATTTATACAGAAGTCCCCTGCAAAGAAACAAAGAAACCGTTGTTAAATTTCTTCCAGTGAGTGCGAACACACACTCTCTCTCTCTCTCTCTCTCTCTCTCTCTCTCTCTCTCTCTCTCTCTCTTTCTCTCTCTCTCTTCTCTGAAGGTTTATATAATAGTCTAAGGAAAGTCATTAAGAGTTCAATATTTCCTCCTCATTTAGAACAAACAATATTAGAGTTCCATAGATACATGTGTCTTCATTTGAGCTCTTCTGATTCATCCCTTCCTGGAATTCACTCCACGTGATGTCTTCCAGAGAGAACACACTATTTTATACCAAATCACCTTCTGTGTCACCTGAAAGGCACAACGGCTGCAGAAAGTAGCCTTCAATTTCTCACTAGAGTAAGCTCTCAAAAATGCTTTGAAAACAATAAAGTCAATAAATACTTTGTATCTAATATGACTGCCTAATTCCCCCAAAGGCACAGTATATTTTCATCAGATAAAGATCAAGTAATTTCACATAAACAGTTTCCTCATTGAACATGAAAACACATGAATACATTTTTTTAAAATCATGTATCCGTACAAGAAAACATCTTTAAATAACAAGATTATAACAGACACTCCAGCACATGAACACTAAGGACTTTTTTCTACCTTCCTTGTTTATCTCGAGGTTGGTTCATTATTCGGCTTTTGATGACGTCAGCTGGTGTTCCCAGAATAGAAGCCACCAGTCCAGAACATAAACTGTAGACACATTTAAATGAAATTGAAATGGAGTTTGCAGTAGCTTCTAAATTCTAAGAAAGAGCATTTAATTTTAAAAAATATTGTTATAGTATTCTTTGTGGTAATGGTCTTCTAGATTTAAGATTAAAATGAATACTTAATTCAATAAACAGGTAGAAAAACTTTAAAGAATGCCAATCAATAAATGTGTGCCTGCTGCTGCCAGGCAGTGAACAAGAGACATAAGACCTTGCCCTTCGAGATGGTTCAGCTGGTAAGTGTGTGCCAGGCAATCACGACCTGAATTTGATCCCCAGAACCCATGGTGGAAGGACAGAAGTGACTCCTGAAAGTTGTCCTCTGATTTCCACATGCATTTTGAAGCAGGTAAACAGGCACCCAGCACACATTTATTAACACATAGGCAATAATAATAACTAAATAACAAACATCTATTAACCTGGCTCTGAAGGCTACTTATGTTTTATTTGGGGAGTGGTAGAGGAGAAATGAATAACTTCAGATGTAGGTAGGTGCTAGGAAAAAGTAAAATGGGCAAATGTCATAGGTATTAACTGAGTGACAGGCAGGAAGGGGAAAGGCTCTGGGGAAGACAGCAGAATTGCACTCACCTGCCAGGTGCAGGCCTGCAGGAACAGCGTTGTGAGGAGGAAAAATGCCTGTACCAAGTCCAGAATATTCTCGATATATTCAAATATACCTGTGTGTGTCTGGGTGTAGTGGTGGGTGCCTTTAATCTTAGTACTCAGGAAGCAGAGACAGGCAGATCTCTGACTTTGAGGCTAGCCTATATGCCAATTTCCACAAATTCTTAATTTTTATATATATGTACAAGTGTTATATACATATATACATACATACACATGTATATATAAATACATATATATCTAAATACCATTTATATATTATATTTCTAGGGTCATCTCAGTAGTGTAGCAGGAGTAAGAAGTTTTGGGTCTTTGGAAACAAGATTAAGGTGCTGTCCCTGTCTGAAATGCCAGAAGAGCCACATTCCCCTAAACCCCCATATGTAATTGCCCCCTCTGTGCTCCCTTCCACAGGCTTTTGTTTCCCTGACTCATTTGAACTCTTGTTGCTTTTTTTCCATATTTACTGTTTTCACACCTGTCTCGCTCTCCCTGTTGGTAAGATCCCTGGGCAGGGCCACTGCAGGGTCCAGTATGGTATATTTAGAATGTAAGGTGCCCACAAGTATCTGTTGAGTCGAGTTAAAGGACCCATCATCAGAAACTGTCCCTGAGACAGCCCCATCAAGGACAAAAGTTTGGTGATGTTTAACCTGAAACATGCTGTAATTTTTTTCTGTCTCTCCCCAATTTTAACTGAAACAAACTTTAAGAAACTACATCACCACTGTTCCCTCGGGGCTATATCATGAAATCCCTGACCAAAGTATCCCAAAAGTTAGAATTTAGGCCAACAATTCAAGGAAAGATAACATATGTGACCGGAGAGATGGTCCTGTGATTAAGAGTACTTGCTGCTCTTATAGAGGACCTGAGTATAGTTGCCAGCACCTGTAATTACAGCTCCAGGGGATCTGAGGCCCCCTTGTGGCCTCTGTAGGGACTGTACACTCACATGAACATACCCCCACACAAACACATACATACCTAAGTAAAAATAATTTTTTAATTTAAAAAAGGTAATATAAAGCAGAGGCAGGCAGATCCCTGTGAGTTCAAGGCCAGCTTGGTCTACATAGTGAGTTCCAGGACAGCTGGGTCTACAGGGGGACTCTGTCTCAAAAAGACTGAAAAAAAAAAAAAAAAAGGGATTACAGAAATTAAGAGGCAAAACAATTACCTGGAAAAAACAAGA